TGGCTTTTTCAGCAAGCGGGACTGACCTAGGGTGAATTTTAAATAGGGACAATTTTAATGATTTTAATAAGACACAGCTATAAATATTTGGTTTTTAATTGGTTTTTATAGGGGAAATGTTTTATATTGTTTTAACATGCTGTGAGCCGCCCTGAGTCCCATGGGGAGAAGGGCGGCATATAAGTTAATGGTAAATAAAAAAATAAAAAAATAAAGTGTCCTGGAAAACTTTTTGTCATGCAATTATATCTGCTTCCTTCATTACAGCCTTTAAATATATAAAGTTATAAATTATGTGTCAACTCTACAATGAACCTGGCTGAAGCCATCTTGCTCGTTCTAGGTTGCCACAAGAAAGGGAGGGGGTGTGGAGTATTTTTGCTAGTCTAAACAATTCTGGCTCCCATGGGAACCAAGGTCATTCTATCAGTTAGCTTGGAGGGCTGAGTGTTTTGTTAGAAAGTCCGCCAAATCATTCTATTGGGAATGTAGCCATTTGCAGACTTGGTTTCACTTTTGATTGTGCCGATACTTTGTAACCAATAAATATGTTCTTTGAGGAAACCTCTAGCCTCGGAGTTCTGATTTTGTTGGTCTTAGCTTTGGAACCATGACATTATGTCTCATGCTTTGAAAGCAAATTAAAAAACAAATGTATGTCAGATAAACAAATCTGATTTTATGATCATTTTTAATAAAACCAAGATCAGATTACAATTTCTTAAACAATTCATTTGCCTTAGAAATATCTAGCACCATCTGCAAAAAAGAAAAGATCATTTAGTGCTTATGTTTTGCCCTATATCTGTTTTAAATGTACTAATCATTTTTAAAAGAAAAAGTGAACAAACAAAAAGAAAACAATAAGAAAAATATTAATTTTCTACAGTAACATAATAAGTGCACAAAGGAATTAGCAAGATTGTAAAGTTAGTGCTCAGTATATCTTTGATTAGAAATTACCCATATAAAACATTAATTTACATTTACATGCATTATATTATTTTAACAATATAAGAATTTAAATCTCTGAGTTAAGTGCCAAAATTTTCACTATTTTTTGTTTAAAAATACAAAAAAGAAAAGAAGATGAAATTACTGAAACCTTAAATATAGTTTCTAATTTCCCCTTTGTCATATAACTAATGTACAAGATACAGATACATTTAAAATGTTTTACTTGTCTCAGATTTCAATTTATTAGTTAATTCTTTTTCTTTTTACATACCGTACTCTAGATAATTATATTTGCCTTACTGCATAATATATAAATGTATGGAAACAAGTCTTGCTAATCGTCCATTTTCCTAAGCAACAAATAAATATAATTCTTCTTATTCCATTGTCTTATAGAGCATAAATATTTTAAATAGAATTTGTATTCTTTGAATTGTGCCTTTAATTTTGAGAAAGGAAAATTTTAGTGATGTCCACTATATAATATAAGTAGTTTTTCCAAGTTTACTACTCTTTTAATAGATAATTAACTATAAAGTTCAAGACATTTTTTTTTTTAATTAGGGTTTACCAGGAGAAAATGGAATACCTGGAAAACCAGGGATCAAAGGAGAAAAGGTAATTTTTAAACCAATATCAAATAATTGCATGTATTTTCAATGTTTCTGCTTCAGTTACTATATAGCAGTGATGGCGAACATTTTAGAACAGACACATCAAACTCGTGACATCATGTGATGTCACGGAACATATCGGAGCTTTTCCCCCATTGCCGGCAATAGGGTGGGCGTGGTTTCCTGGTGATGTGTATGGCCTGCGGGCTGGCAGTTTGACACCCTTGTTTTAGAGACCGAGTGCCCAAATTGCAACCCAAAACCTACTTATTTATCGCTGGGTGCCGGGTGGGCATGGCCCATTGCATGGGCATGGCTACGGTGGTCACAGCAGACTGGGTGGGCATGGCCGGGGTGGGCATGGCCACCTCAATATTGCTCATGGGGAGGGATGCCTGTGGAGGCCGAGCAGGGTTGGGGGAGATCCAGGGGGTCTCTGGCAGATGGGGCGATGGGCAAGAGGCTCACCCTGTGGGGTGAGGCGAGGCGAGGCAGGGGGCAGAGCGGAGGTACCATTGCCTAAACTTTCTCACCTCCCGCGTGGGCAATGCCTCTCCTGAGATGAGCCCGTGTGCGCCTACACATGTGGTCTGGCAAGCGTTCAGAGAGAAACTCCTCAAGAAGAAGAGCACACGCATATTCCCCCACCCAGCAGGGGCTTTTCCAGCCCCGCCCTCTACTCTCAAGGCACCAAACACCCTGCTTCCGTTGAGACTACGGCAGGGGAGCGGGACAGGTGGCTAAGCAATGGAGACATGGAAGACATAGGCCAGCCGATGCGTGCATGCATGCGTGGAGCGGTTATCAACAGCGGCAACAACAACAGTAGCCCAGTGCAGTGAAAGGGGTGCATGCAGTTTGGGTGGTGTCAATGGGGGCAGGGGAGAAGCTGCTTTTTGGAAGATGGGGACCAGAGTCAGCTGCAGCAGGCAGGGGATAATAAAAGTGTAAAATAAAAATAAAAGTCTAAAAAGGGCCGACACTTTCTGACTGAGGGGGCACAGAAAGGACAGCATTTGTGGAAGGGGGGTTATGCAGCAATACCGGTTTGACAATGGTGGAGGAGACGAGGTTTAGGCCATGCACTTAAAGGAGGGCAATTCCCGCCATGCTTGGGTGGTTCTCCCCAAGAAGTTTCAGCACTGCTTTGAGCCCCGCGTTCTCATGGCCTACAGAGGTTTGTTGCCAAGGCCGTGTTGGTGGAGCCAGTGCCCCCCGAATGGAGAAAGTGGGCATCCTGTGAGGTCTGATGCCCGCGCTAGCAGCGGGAGCCTCCCGGTTCCTCTGCTCACCGGGTTGGGGAAATAGTCCAGGAAGTATCGCCAGACGGCCCAGGCGGAGTGACAGCGAAATGGATCTCCCAGTCCAGGTAGAACCAGGCCACGTAGCCGAGCGCCAGCAGCCAGCCATCCCTGAGCAGCAGCAGCACCAGGTAAAGCCCCAGTCAGCACTGGGCTACGAGAGAGGCAGTGGATGACCCTCTCCTCCACCTTGCCAGTCCCCGAGCAGCGCAGCTGTGGCACTCTGAATGTGCTCAGGAGCCTGCCTCTCTGGCTGCTCCTGCCCGCAGACAACCCCAGCTGAGAGGAAGTGGTGGCACCCTGCAGGGCTGGAGCAGTTGGGGTTTGGGAAGGCAGCCCCACTTGAAGCAAGGCAAGCTGCCGCCCGCAAGAGCCAAGCCAGGCACTGTAACTGCCTGCCTACCCCCACCTTGGGCTCCCTTCGCAGCCATCGGCCTGCCGCCCCACACAGGCCATGACTGCTGGCCAGCACTGCATCTCCTGTGATTTCCCCTGTGGCTGGGACACAGCCAAGTTTGCCGCTGCTGGCACCATCCCATCCTCACCCAGCATCAGGAAGGAGAAGACTCACTGGAGGACGGCGGCTGTTTGGAGGCACTGCCGGAGAGGCAGGCACAGCGGGGCGAACCGCAACCACATGGCCAGTGTGACGGGATTGGGCTCTTACAGGTTATCCACCAAGTGCAGCTGCAGCTTATCACAGAGGGATGAACTCCTCCTCCTCCATGAGGCCCCACTCTGCCTTCCCGTAAGCAAGGCACTGCTGCAGGGGGGAGGGGGCGCCTCCCTGATGGTGGCTCCGGGCTGGCTGGCCTTAGGCCAGTGATGGCAAACTTTTAAAGACCATGTGTGCTGGGGCGATGGCGCATGCCCACAGAGAGGGCTCCGCATGCCGCCTCTGGCACACGTACCCTAGGTTCGCCACCACTGCTATATAGGTTTTATCTTGTCACCTCAGATATGTTCAGTATTCTATGTTTTTGCTATCTTATTTGTTGTAAAAACAAATATTGCAATGAATATTCTTAAACTAAGGCAATGTTTCTAACTGAAGAATAATTTTTGGGTTAGTTAGTACCTATCAACTAAAGGGAGCAAAAGTAATATCTGGCTTCATTCAGTTCCCCAAATGTTTAAAAAATTCCACCATGCTGTAATTTTAATGGTTACAATAAAATTAATAGATAAATTATTACATTTATTGGAAGTTGATTTTCTTTTAAATGAAATTAAATCTACGTCTTGTCTAGCATTAGCCGTCACTTTGTCTTAGCTTTATCCATTTTGGGAGTGGGCTTTCCAGCAAAGCAAAGCACGGTCATCTCCCCTCCCCCTTTGCCAAAAAGCACCCACAAAATGATTGCAACATTAGGAGTCTCCAGCAGAGATTTGTTCTTTGTTTTCGGAGAGTTTCTGCATTGGAATGGATTAAAAAAAAAAATCTTGCTAAATGCAAGCAATCCCACTAGTTTTGGTCCAGCAACAAGGATGATATAAAAATTAATTGACTGAGGCGACTTGAGAATGGAGCTAAGAAAGCGGCTACCTACGTTGACAGGTACTTTGACAACACAGGAAGAATGTGGAGATAAGATAATGAGTTAATTTAAATATGATACATTAATCTGGCTCTTGTAACTTCCTATCAAATTAGCATTGTTTTTGTCTATATTACATAGGGAGACTCTGGTGGAATCATAGGCCCACCTGGGCCTCCAGGTTCTAAAGGTGACCCAGGGCCTCCAGGATTAAGTCTTCCAGGAAAACCAGTAAGTACCATTAAGTATTCTATTGCAGAAAAGCCTAGGAGGTCAGCAGAAATAAAAGGTCGCCCTCTAGTAGAATTACCAGCATCGCATATATTATTTCATTCAAGGCAAGCAATGTTATGTAGAGTACAGAAAGGAGAAAGAAATAATATGTCAAAGAATTCAAAAGCATGACATAAGGAAAAGGAAACCTAGCGAAAACTAGTTTTCACCAACACTATTTATTATATCTCTCCCTACCTTTCTATTCTTACAAACCATCCTTGCTTCCACCATGTCCATACAACATTCCACGCATTGCCTTTTGTTCTCCCAAAGCATCTTTGGGACAACCCTGACCTGGATGATTGAGAATGTCCATAGACGTTGCCTTTTGTTCCTTTACCCAGCACTGAGTATTTTCAAAGATAGACTTATGTAACTCAGAGCCATCAGGTTATAAGTAATGAGCCTTTTGGAAAATATGTCTCTGAAGCAAACAGCTGCAGATAACTCCGTTTTGTAAGCTGTTCAGTTCTACACATTTCTAGTCTTCCCCCCACCATGCTTCCCTTTGTTACTTCTCATAAATAATTAGCTCATCAATTATTGTGAAACTAAAACAGTAGTGAATAATTATCATTACAAGATATCTTATTTGTTTTTGTACAATAAGACACCTGTGTCTAAAATTAGATTTTTTTTCCTGACAGTTTAAGAATACGTATTATTTTCTAATTATACAAAAACATCTTTTTTTTCACGTTTTTAAATTGCCCATCTTCCTCAGGGAGGAACTCTGAGCCCTGTACAATAAATGCTAAAATATAAAAACAGTATATAATACTTAAATTAGAAAATTTAGAATTTAAAAGGAAGCAAAGATGATTAAGATCTGTTACAATTTAGTTAAAAAGGTGAAGGGAGGGCTCTCGGGGCACCAACCAGCCCCACAGCTTCATAGTCCTCTAAGCTTCCCAAAGGAGGCCTCAGAGGCGTGCTTTAACTCCTTTCCAGAAGGCCATAGGAGTGGGGACCTGTCTCACCTCTGGTGGGAGGGTGTTCCATAGCGCAGGGGCAGAAAACGCTCTCTTCCTAGACCCCATCAGTTGAAGTTATTTAATTGACAGCATGTGCAACATACTTTCTCTGCCAAGGGGGATGGATTGATGTATTGGAAAAAAGACAGTTCCCGTAGGTCAGGGGTGTCAAACTCAATTTCATTGAGGGCCGCATCAGCATTGCGGTTGCCCTCAGGGGGCTGGGTGGGTGTGGCCAGGGTGGGTGTGGCCAGCTCTACATCGTTCGCGTCAAGGGTGCCTGTGGGGGCCTGGGCAGGAGTGGGATAGATCTGAGGGTCTCTGGAAGAAGGGGGTGGGACCAGGGCAAGTGCCAAGGCATGGTCCACTGGAGGAGCCTCACTATTCCTCTCAGGCCATGCGGGGGGGGGGGCTTATGGAGCTAAGACTGAATGCATTTCAGCATAGATGGCCACCACAAAATTGTACATTGGCTCCCGGCTGGCCTGGGCCAGGGCCAAGGCAGAGGGGGCCATTCCCTCACTGTTTCCAGGATGGCTTCGCGGGCCACATGAAACCACTTCGCGGGCCGCATCCGGCCCCTGGGCCTTGTGTTTGACATGTCTGCCGTAGGTAGCCTCTGTCATGTAGGGCTTCATAGGACATAACCAACATCTTAAACTGGACTCAAAAGCAAACTGGCAATATAATTCATCAAGCAAAGGTTTTATATGCACCCTTCTTGGGGCACTAAGAATTGTTTGTGTGGCCTCATTCTGCACTAATATACATAGCTTTCTCTCCATCTTTTTCCCCCCTATATTAGGGATTAGCTGGTGTTCCTGGGACAATAGGTCCACGAGGGCCTAAGGTAGGGAAAGCCTATTCTAATCCTGTATTTTAATTGTTTGGTGTCGTGCTTTTATTCAAAGATTTTTTTAAAAAAACAAAGACTTGTTCCTTTATCAGGGAGAAAGGGGGCTCCCTGGAGTGCAGGGTCCTCCAGGAGAGATGGGGCCAGCAGGGAATGGAACCCCCGGACTACCTGTAAGTACAAAATTTGTTTTGTGCTCCTTTCACCCCATTATTAACATGGATGTCATTCTGTAATTGCTTCATTGATGCAGCACGGATGGCAATTCTACCTCTAATATATGATTTCGTATGTGTATTTTCTTTTCCTCTGTAAAGAAATGATAAAATGGCTCTTGGCTGATCCCACTACTACATTTACTAGCATGTCTGAATAGAACAGCTAAATAAAATTGTTCCTGTTTGGGTTTTGTGACTGTCAAGGGAATGGAGAGAAAGGAATTATATATTGCTGCCTAGCAAGGCAATTGTTCCTATCTCTTCCCAGAGTGCAACTAAGCCAGAAGCAGAGTTCTGCACATTGTGTCTATCTACTCAGGGATAAAGATGCCTTTGGGTCATATTATTCTCCCAAGCATATCATTTGAAGCAGAGTAGTTTTGGAAATTTTCTTCTCTGTTATTTTACACAGTTATGAATGTCATGTTTTGTATATTTTACATTTGTATTTAGGTCTTAAATCGGATATTAAACATCTCTTTTCAGCAAGGGTTCTTAAATTCCAGAATCCCCTAAAGGAAAAGATGAATTTATGTAACCTTCCCTCGTCGATATAAATAAGTAATAGCTGAGTAAATAATAATTTTTAAAACTGCTAGCAGAGGGTTTTGACAGATGGCTGGAGCTATAAGTATTTTGATAGCCCTCCTGCTTTGCCTGTGGAATTTAATCATTCATCCTCTAAGTTGCTAATAACCCCACAGAGGGCCTTGACCAATATCTTGAGAAGCTTTACTTAACAGTAAAATGTTAATGAGGATGACATCTGAAAGCAATGCATGGATGTTTAAAAACAAAATTACTCCTCCCCCACTTACAAGAAACCATGTCTAAAATGAGTGCCTCATTTTAGAAGATTTGCAGAATCTCTAAGCAGAGCTAGAAAAACTCCATACTAAGATCCCCGAGGGCAACTATCAATCTGGATGGATGGTACTAATTTAGACTCAACAATGATCTGACTGGTGAAAGAAGCTTCCTATCATAATTTCCAATATCATGTTCTGCTGTAATCAACAGATCTGGCTAAGAAGAATCTTAGCCTCAAGTGATACTTTTATGCTCATGAATAACCAGATATGAGGTCCAGCTCTATCTCTTTGAAATCCTGGGTGGGTTTTTTACTTACGCAAGTTTTCAATAGCAATAATAACCCCCTTTTTTGTAACGATGAGAATGATGATGATGATGATGATGATGAGGAGGAGGAGGAGGAGGAGGAGGAGGATTGTATTCACTCATTGCTCTGTTTTTCAGGGTCTTAAAGGGCCTCCTGGGACACCAGGATACCAAGTAAGATATTTCATAGGAAATCTTGGTCAATACTTTTATTGTCCTTATTGTGTAAGTCTTCCTTGATACCTGATGCTCCAAATGTTCCTTCCACAGGGACCAAGAGGGCCTCCTGGATTACCTGGGACTCCTGGAACTCCTGGCCTTAATGTAAGTACTAATAAATACATGGTAGTAATATCTTCTTGAACAAGGTTCAAGCAATACAACAACAACAACAAATTCTTCCCTGTTTTTATGTACTGTACATTTAGGGTATTCCAGGACGAGATGGAAAGCCAGGAATCCCAGGCCCTCCAGGTGACCCAGTATGTATATAAACTAACTCAACTCTCTTACACTGAAGGCAAATGTATCTAAAATCACTAAAATTTTAATACAGATAGTCCTCGACTTACAACAGTTCATTTAGTGACCATTCAAAGTTACAGTGGCATGAAAAAAGTGAGTTAGGACCATTTTTCACATTTACAACCATTGCAGCATCCCCATGGTCACATGATCAAAATTCAGACGCTTGGCAACTGCCTCCTTTTTATGACCGTTACAATGTCCCAGGGTCATGTGATCCCCTTTTGTGACCTTCTGACAAGCAAAGTCAATGGGGAAGCCCTATTCACTTAACAACTGTGTTACTAACTTAATAACTACAGTGATTCATTTAACAATTGTGCCAAAAAAAGGATCATAAAACAGGGCAAAATTAACTTAATAACCCTTCAGCTGAGCAGCAGAAATTTTGGTTGTGGTTGTAAGTTGAGGACTAATTGTATATATATATATATTAAGTCAATTGTTTACATTTGAAGAATTGAAATTATCTTTGAATCAATTCGTTAAATGATTCCTACATTGCTAGAAAAGATATAAACTGAGGTAACCCCCATAACTCCTCTTTTAAAGGGCTCCTGGGTATATTATATGAACAACTGCAAGAATTCGTGCTATGCAGAATATCAAATTCCTTGTCTCAAGCCCTCCCGAAGAGCTGGGAGGGGTTTTAAATAATTAAGGCTTGGGTTAGAAAGAGAAATTGGGAATGCTGAAGAATTTCAGACGAAATTTCTTCCTCACCCTCTCTGCAACCCTCTTCCTAGTTTTTTAAGGACGTTATGTAATGTAAAGTCTCCCTTGCAGGCATTTCTTCCAAGGTTTCTTCTATTAAAAAATAATAATTCTCATAAACTGCCACCAATTAAACTGAACCTCCTGCCAAGATAATCCAGTTGCAGAGTTCTTCCCTTCCATCAAGAAGGGAAGAGAAATAGGAATACTGAGCTTCATAAGCTGGAAGCTTAAGGGGAAACTGTGTAACCGTGTGGTCTTGCCCATGGGAATAGTTTTAGTAAGAAGTTCACTTATTAGAGTAAAAGAGGCAAACCTTTAGATATAAAAATTGAAAAGGAGAATATAAGGAAAAACAAAAATGACCAACAATCCCTCAAACAAATTTCAGAGCAGGTAAATATAGGCAACCCTACTGGATTATGTATCCCATCATTCATAAGGCTTCAATCATCCAGTCATGCATTCAAATTGCAAAGACTACAGCTGTTAGCAACTCAGCCTTCGTTTCTCTTTTTCTTTCTTCCTTTTTTCCTTGAGCACTGTTTTTTTGGTTTTATAAGAATTTAGTGGATGATTGAAAGTCAGCCTCCTAATGTCATAGTTCTAGCTAATTATAGATACTTCCCCTGAGTTATTCAGTTTGGCCCATAAAATCAACAATAGAGTTCTGAAAAGCAGCATTAAAAGAAAAGAATAAATGTAAATAATAAAATCTCACAACAATTTGTATAATACCAGGTTAAACTCAGATGGCTTTCTGCAATTATTGATCATCTCTCCCAATGTCAAAAATAGGAACAAACTGCATATGTTATTAACTTTAAAAACAGTGCTTTTAATATCAAGTAAACTGCCCTTGGAAGTATCGTACACTGTTTATCTGAACAAACAAATGCAGCAAAGAAAAAAATAATGTGTTTAGGGATCATGTAAGCACCAATCTAAAAGTGTGTTTAATTACAGGTTGCTCTTCCTCTCCTTGGTGATATAAGTACTTTATTAAAGGTAATTGCCTTTTTGTAGCTTCTCTATCCCATTTTTAAAAAACACATTTTCATAGGCTTGGGGGTTTGGATCATTTTAATCTTATCAGTTTTTGGCATGTACTGATCACCTAGCCACATCCCCATAGATGACACTATGGTTAGAGGCGATGGAAGATCTACATCAGTGGTTCTCAACCTTTTTAATGCCGCGACCCCAACCGGTCGTAAGTCGAGGACTAAACCGGTCGTAAGTCGAGGACTAAACCGGTCGTACGTCGAGGACTAAACCAGTCGTAAGTCGAGGACTACCCAACCGGTCGTAAGTCGAGGACTTACTGCCCGGGAGCACCGCGCATACGTGGTTCCGCCCCCTGCACCGGCCGAGGCGTAGCTGGCAAGTGGCAGAGATGGTGCAGGCCGACCACCAGCTGGCCCAGTCCAAGGGAGGTAAGGCACCCGCCGGAAAAGGGGAAAAAAATGGCGGACAAAAAAATGGCGGACAAAAAAAATGGCGGACAGCCTTGCTTGGCGACCCCCGTGAAATGGTCGATCGACCCCAAATGGGGTCCCGACCCACAGGTTGAGAACCACTGATCTACATCAATGGCCTTCATTATTTATAATTCACCAATTTAACAATTTTTGTTAACCATAAATGGTAAGTCAACTCAGAGTTTATTATTTAGGATGGTTTTTAGTGCCCTTTCTGTCTGGAGGATGACTTGGTTTCTTTTTTTTTTCCCCTTCTATTCAATCATGGCCAATTCTCAGTGACCGTCTGGACAAGGCCCTACAGTTTTCTTGGCAAGGGTTTTCAGAAATGTTTTGCAATTGCCTCCTTCCTGAGGCTAAGAGAAAGGGACTGGTCCAATGTCCCCCAGCTGCCTTTGTGTCTCACATTCTCTCCGTTTCTAGCCTGATGCCTTAACCACTACACCAAACTGAAACATTATATTTCTTTCACACAAATGTAAAATAGACTAAAAAATTTTTTTGCATGCATAACCTCCATGCTTTTTCACAGTCTTGTTATCCAAAGTTTTGTTTTAGCAACTTTTACAGAAGCCCCCTGAGTAATGAAGGCCTGTTTATAAATAGTTCTTAAATTTAATGTCGAATGCTATTCTTCTATTTATCACTTCATAAACAAAAATCCAAAATAAGGCAATGCTGCCTTAAGCGCTGCTTCACAATCACCGTGGCTTTTGATCAGAAGGAGAAAATGCAACATTGCAGACCTATCATAGGCAAGACCTTGAAGTCAGGAAGGTATATCTAGTTTGATGTCCTGTGTGAATACATTCTCCAATGCTACTTTAAAAAAAATCCCTCTACCATTATCTTTGTGCCATTAGGGAGATCCTGGTCCAAGAGGTCCCCCAGGGATCCCAGGAAGAGAAGGGTCAAAGGTGAGTTCCTCATGTGAGCTTTTTAAAATGAAATTTGCTCGTTTGTGGATTTTATTTAATTATACATGCACGGTTGTTGCTTTTTAAAGTTGTAAATACATTGTTATCACTACCAGAAATAATCAACATTTTGGCAGATTAAAAGACCATGTGCATCCCACATTCCTGAACAGCCCCTCCCAGAATAAATGACCAGCCCTAGTTGGTCAGCTCTTCTGGAAATGGCACAGAAGCTTTTACGAGGGCAATTCGGAAATAAACCTCCATTTGGTTATCAATGACAGACACTCGCAGACACAGAACTTTTATTATACACATGAGAAAACTACATTACATTACTTTTCAACATAATCACCTTCAAATTGAGGCACTTGTCATAACGTCTTACAAGGTTTGAAATTCCTTAGTAGTAGTCGCTAGGGGCGGGGTGATCAAAACCATCCCAATGGAACTGCTTCAAAAGTTCTTGGGTGCATCTAGCGGTGTCCAGGCGAGAATTATCGTGAACCAACACCACACCGGAAGGCAGCATGCCCTAATGCTTTTTATAGATGGCTGGTCTGAGTTTTCATAACGTTTCCAAGTAGATGAATTGATGGTCGAACCACACTCCATGAACTTCACTAGCAGTACTCCTTAGGCATCTTCACATTTGGCGGGATTTTCTATGGCACCACTTCCAGCGTGGTGTTGGTTCACGATAATGCTTGCCTACACACCGCTAGATGCACCCAACAACTTTTGAAGCAGTTCCATTGGGATGTTTTTGATCACCCCCCCCATAACCCAGATTTGGTGCCGAGCGATTACTACTAAGGAATTTCAAACCTAGTAAGACGTTATGATAAGTGCTTCAATTTGAATGGCGATTATGTCAAAAAGTAATGTAATGTTGTAGTTTTCCACTGTGTATAATAAAAGTTCTGTATTGGAGAGTGTCTGTCATTGATAACCAAAAGGAGATTTATTTCAGAATTGTCCTCGTAATTAAGGAGATGGTTGCACGGGAGACTTACTGAGCAGAATTTATGAAGGAAACTTTATAAGAGAAGGAATCTGGGCAAGGCAATGGACTTTGCTAGAACACAGATTTTACACTTCAATCTGATTTCAAAATAACAAGCACAAGAGCCCTCTGAGTTGCAATAGTGGTAGTCCTACTAGTTCAGACATGTCAAATACAAGGCCTGCGGGCCAGATGCGGCCCACGAAGTGGTTTCATGTGGCCCACGAAGCCATCCTGGAAACAGTGATGGAACAGCCCCCTCTGCCTTGGCCCTCCAGTGGACCATGTGAAGCTCCTCCAGTGGACCATGCCTTGACCCTTGCCCTGGTCCCACCCCCTTCTGCCAGAGACCCTCAGATCTGTTCCACTCCTGCCCAGGCACCCTTGATGTGAAAGATTTAGAGCTGGCCACACCCACCCAGTAGGCCACACCACTCCATCCACGCCCACCCAGTATGCCGCACCCATCCTGGCCACACACCCCCGCCCCCCCGAGGGCAACCGCAATGCTGATGCAGCTCTCAATGAAATTGAGTATGACACCCCTGTACTAGTTTATTGTTGGATTCATTTTCAAATGATTAGACCCCTCAATCTGGTCCCTTGATTTATCATGGACAAATGGCATGTTTAAGCCTTTCTTATTCTTTTTTTTTAAATTTATTTCCTACTTAATGTTGCACATTACAGATGTAGGAACAGTGAAGTACCAAGGAGAATTCCTGTACAAAATTATCTTGAACATTTTTCACGAGCTGATTCACATATACAGAGTGATCTCTCTTACTCTGTCATTCGGCATCAACACTGCAATTCAGTGAAAATTAAACAGTTCTCCTGAATTTAGTAGGATTCAACTTCAAGTGTATATTGGATTACAAAGTTAACTGTGTAAGTGTTTATATGCATTTAAGCCATCATTGATGCTGCAGTTGTTAGAGCTAAGGAACAAGGAGTATGTTACAATCTATGCTGTGCTATTTTGGCATCCATTACTTGAAACTGTTTCCTTTGAGAAACGTATTTTATAAACCAGATAATGTCTATTTTCTTTGTCCCCAGGGGAGCAAAGGGGAACGTGGATTTCCTGGTCTTCTGGGAGAGAAAGGTGATGAGGTATGAAGATCTACTCCTGCTGTAACAAGAATAGTTTTCTTATTAGTGTTACCCTTATTAGTGTTACCTTTGTCATCCTCCTAGTCTTCATTCTAGGCATTCAGGCATTTGATTTAACAAGTCTTGCCGCTGTCACTGCCATATCTATTAGCCCTCTCACTATAGCCCTGGAAAGCAAGACATTTTTGACATAGAGAAAGCATTTCTTCACCGTCTATTCCTCACAAAGTGAAATTTACTTCATGCTTTCCCTGCCCCTGCAAAAAATAATTTTCCTTATCCACATTACAGAAGCCAAAAAGTCTCCTCTGCCTAAAAAAACATGACTGCAGTTTCATGGATTTCCACCTGACCAAGGAACTTTGGGATAACATTTTTAAATTAGGAAATTTAAATAAAAGAGGTTATTTCTTGCTTTCAGTTGAATAAAACTCCTTGGTGAAAAACATGCTTTTTCTCTTCTCCATAAATCTCTTTCCATTATTTTTTCTGCCTTTATTCCATAGACCAGGGGTATCAAACTGCTGGCCCACAGTCCTGGTGCATCATAGCAAAACTGCGCTCATCCCATTGCCGGCAATGGAAAAAAAGTCGCAATACGTCACAACACATCACGTGACGTTGCGAGTTTGACACCCCTGCATTAGACTGTTTTTCTCTGCATTTCATTCTCTCCCTTTCTTTCCTTTTCTCCCTCTTTTTTTTCCTACTTCCGTCTGTTGGCTACCTGTTGGCTTCATCAGCAATCTTTTGTTAGAATATCAGAGTAAAATAAATTTAACCCCCCCCCCCCGAAATTTCAATTTGTTGAAATGAAATCAGGTGATTTAATATAATGCATGAAACAATATTAAATAGCATATAAATTATGTGGGAGAGGTAAAAAAGAGGCTTCCCTTTGTTTTGTTTTAAATTATGATTTGGTTTAATTTGGTTGGAATCGTGTGGTTTTCTGAATTGTATTAAGACCTCTCTAAGTTGATTCTTCTTGTAAAGAAGTAAACATTGGTAATAAGGAATAATGCAAGCTAGTATCATACTGTCATGTATACCTTGACAAATAGCTTATCAGAATAATTTGCTTTGGGAAGACACTATGTTTATTGACTTTTTAAAAAATGAGCAGAGATTTAAATACTGCTCCATCTGTATACAACAATATATACATTATGGTCCCGTGTCCATTAGCAAAGACTAAAAACAACAACAACAAAAAAGCAATATAGCATTGCATAATATGGCACCCACCCTACAGGTTGTGACCAACTTTACGAAGCAGTGTTATCCGGAAATGTTTTCATGGTCATGTGGCCAGCATGACATCATGCCACAGCACAGAGGGTACGGCAAAACACAGAATGCTATGATCTGCTTGCATGCTATATGTGGTATCTATTCATCTGCTTGCATTTACAAGCTTTTGAACTGCTAGCTTGGCAGGAATTGGGACAAGTGACGGAAGCTCACTCTGTCTTGCAGCATCCCTGGCTCTCGAACTGCCAAGATATAGACCTTTAAAGACCTAAGACTCAGTGTTTTAACCATTCAGCCAACCTAGCAGAAGCCTGAATTGGGAGCCTGTGCAGTAAAATAAATTCAGCACAGGCAAACAATAATGTTTATTTATTTGGGTGGTTCACAATATCCTTACAGGTTCCTTTGCAATGCAGTAAAAGCAGCAGCAATAGCAAAAAAAAAATAAAAAAAATCCAGACACCTGACATCAAGCAATCCTGAACAATACTCTTAAGAACCCAGGGGCAAGAGGCAAATCCAAATAAAAGGGCTGGCTTATAATTGGCAATTAGATTTTTAAGAGGCTCCAGAGCGAGTGCAAATCTTTTCAATAGATCGGTAGGGTGCCACACGGACTCATGTGGTTACTAAGCAAGAGTCACACTGCTGTGCAGCTGATAAGCTTCTCAGGCAATCTAGCACTCTTGAGTGGGTCTCACATTCTATCGCACTGCAAGTGGCTAAATTAATCCTTTTTCCAGGACAGCAGATTATACCTGAACGAAATAGAGTTTCAAGACCAGCAAAGCAGCGTGGTACTTTAAGTCAATCTGAAAATGTTTCTGGTTTCACTGATCTTTGAACAAACTTCACAGGAGAATTTTTGAGAGAGTATAAATGTACTAGAAATGGGTTCTTTTCCCAAGCAGAAAGGGAGAATTAAAGTATGGTATCAAGAAACATGTTCTAACTCCGGATTTTTTTTATGTTTCTTCAATATTCTCTAACTTTTATTGTATATTCAGTTTTATTGTAAACTTGAGTTAGCACCTGCTTTTTTCCTTTGTGTTTAGGAACCTTCTTACCAGTTATCATAATGTTTAACTTATCCAAACTAATTGTATAGAAAATATTTACTACTATACAAGTGTGCATTTTTTATACATTTAGGTCAAGATTGTTGGCAATGATTTAAACAAATGTCACACACACACACAAGCATAGTTCACATATTCCCATTCTCATATTTTGATTTCTTTCAGGGCCTTCAAGGAATTCCAGGCCTGCCTGGTGTGGCAGGACCACTAGGACCTCCTGTAAGTATTTGAGTTTATATTTGCCAATGAAATATTGCAGCCTAATTACTTGAAAGCCTCAGTTAATATGACTTGAAAACATGATTTTCTAAATTGAGTGCAAATAATGGTGTTTGATAGGTTACAGCAAAAGGAAATATCTTAGTTGATTCCCTGCTAAGCAGGGTCAGATATGACCCTGGAGATCAATAGGAAGTCCTAGGAATGTAAAGTGGCTGTAGAAGTTTTAATAACATCCAAAAAGAAGGTAAGGGCAAAGGATCTCCATTAGATTTCCATTTAATAATGGCTAAACATGTTTACAGTATTGGAATTTAAACAAATAATACAATAACTTGGAAAAATATAATGTTTGAAGGCTTTGCAGTAACTGCAATAAAATGGTGGTCATATCCCTAATTCTCTTTTAATAGAATTGTCATTCTTACGCTGAGATGAGTTGTATGCAATGCATTATCTGCAAAAGGTACACTCCATATTCAGAACTGAAGAAGCTTCGGTGAGAAGCAAAACATCTTCAAGGGAAAAACAAAGTCCAGTTGCCTTTTGAAAAAGCACTTTGGGGACAACCATGACCTGGATGACTGCAAATCTCCATAGACTCCATATTATTCTCTACCCACTACAGCTATTTGTACACATAAAACTAGTTGAGTACCCCTATTCACTTAGGGGTATTTAATCTGAGAAGAGTTAATTGGTTGAGGAAGGAGTATGAAAGTCTTCTTATGAAGCCTCAAGTTATGTTAGATACCTGTCTTAATTTAACAGAGTGTGATGAATATCATTTAGTCACTGTAGTACCAGAAACTTTGTAGGTAAAAAATGCAATTGTAAACATAACTTTCATCCATCGAATTTTTAAAATAAGTTCTATATGGCAAAATCATTTCAATAAAATACAGCAGTTGTATCAGTAGTGTATACGGTGGTGGCATATCCCTTAGTTATAACTGAATACAGTTACATTGTTTCTTTTTTTAATATAACTTCATTAAGTAAAAAATAAAAAACTAACAAAAAGCTAATAGTCAAGAAAAGAGAGTACAAAGGAAATCAGAATGTAGAGAGAAATAGCAGATAGAAGTGCAAAAATATATATAGAAATAAACGAAAATACCCCCCAATAGAATGACTTCTGACTTGTTTTACAGCAGATGTAAATAAAATTTGTTCAACTATTGCTCTTCAATTACAATGTACCCTCCATTTCTTTATAATCTACAAATATTACTGATTCTCAGATCCATATGTCATAACTTCATTTTTTTCTGTTTTGTACCAAAAATACAAAATGGGCTTCCAGTTGGTATTAAATTTAGCCGATGTCTTTTTTCTAATCAGAGCCATCAGTTTCACCATCCCAGCCAGCTCCATCAGCTTTACCAACCATTCATCCATTGTAGGTATCATCAAATCCATCCAAGGTTGGGCATATGGAAGTCTTGCTGCTGTTGTCATATAGAAGAACCAAATACCATGCGATTTTCCAATTTCTCCATCAGCCCTGCCAAAAATGTCTCTACTCTGACTTATATATTGAACTTCATTTTTTAAATTAATCTATTGCTTGGCTTTTTGACAAGCCCCTCCCCCTCAAAGATGGTAAAATAGTAAGCACCCTTCTTGGTATTTACATTTCCAAAAGTTGTTAGAAGTCCCACTACATATTTTTGACAATCTCTCTGGTGATAAATACCATCTACGCATTGTTATATAAAAAAAACCAGTTATATTATTTTAAAAATAGAATCATTGCAAATAATTTGTCAAAGCTGGGGAAAGAAAGGGAATGGCATCAGAAAAACAACTTTCAGTCATTCTATTTTAAAAATTATGTCAAAGACATACAATATCAATAAGATGCAGTACTTTGCCTCAAATATAAGGGTAATGTGTGCTTTAGTTATATGAAGAAGTGAAGCAGGGGTCATCTTTGAAGAAACTTTGGAAACGTCAGGAAGTCCTGAGTAGTAGCAAGGATGTTTGCACATGCTGATTCTTGGATTTCATTTCACTTATCCTGTAGCACTTGTACTTATTTGCACATTTTTTAAAGGAAAAATTACCTGAAGGGCTGCTTTCTGCTGTATCAGACATATCCTCAGATCAAATGGAGAGGATTTTTTTCTGAGTTCTACCTATGATGTAGAGCAGTGTTTCTCCACCTTGACAATTTTAAGGCATGTGGACTTCAACTCCCAGAATTCCACAGCCAGCATTGCTGGCTGTGGAATTCTGGGAGTTGAAGTCCACATGCCTTAAAATTGTCAAGGTTGAGAAACTCTGATGTAGACAATGCAATGTAGACTGATAGGAACTTCTCAGGAATTACACCAATACTGAGGGACAGGTTGCCCTGTGACTCCTAGGTTGGGTGCTGATGATGTAATGTTAGGATTTGCTTTCCTTCAGGTAAAAGGTTTATCTGAAAAATGAGTCTCCTTTACAATGTTTGTTTTGGTTTATATCTGATATGTCAGATGAAATGAAATACATGTTTAAATAAATAATTGCACAAAAATAATTTGTTTCTTTCCAAGCACAGCTTTCAAACTCTTAATGTTAGAATAAACTCTTTTGTTTTATGTTATTTCTTTGTTTTACAGGGCGCAATAGGAAGACCTGGACATCCTGGTTCACCAGGAACAAAAGGCGAGAAGGTCTGTTACTCTTCACACTACATACATACTCCCTCTAATAGCATTTTTATTGTTTTTAAATAATAATAATAATCATCATCATCATCATCATCATCATCATCATCATCATCATCATCAGTGCTTTTTTTGTAAAAAAAAAAAAAAAAGGTGCCGGAACTCACACATTATACAACCCGTACCCTACAAGGTTTACCTTTGTAGTTGAAAAAAAAACCCTTCAATTTTTAGTGTATCTAAAAGACTAGGATTTTGTTCAAGGCAACTCTGGAAAATCCGTCGAAAAAAGGTGCCGGAACTCCGTTCCAGTGCATTCTATGACAAAAAAGCAACAACAACAACAATAATAATAATAATAAAGTTAGAAGTTCCTGCACAGGCAGGAAACCCTATACCATTTCAGACAAATGGCTGTGCAGTCTCTTCTGCAAAACTTCCAGTTTTTTTCATTTCTTCTTAGTTAAATAAAGAATTCCAGGTGCACTCTTTAACATTATTGAGACTGAATCTTTCATTTTATGGAAATCCAAAGATGGATTTGTGGTTTATATAGTTTGCATAGCAATACAAAGAAAGTAATAACTAGATTTGGTAGCGCTCTTTCACATAGAAATATTTTTAAATGCTATCTCTTATCTTAATGGTTCTCTGTACTTGACCCTCAATAAATATGAGCCCAAACACTGATTGCTCCTGAGAGCACAAATTGTAGTTTTTCTGATCTCATCTTTTTGCTGAAAGNATGAAGCCTCAAGTTATGTTAGATACCTGTCTTAATTTAACAGAGTGTGATGAATATCATTTAGTCACTGTAGTACCAGAAACTTTGTAGGTAAAAAATGCAATTGTAAACATAACTTTCATCCATCGAATTTTTAAAATAAGTTCTATATGGCAAAATCATTTCAATAAAATACAGCAGTTGTATCAGTAGTGTATACAGTGGTGGCATATCCCTTAGTTATAACTGAATACAGTTACATTGTTTCTTTTTTTAATATAACTTCATTAAGTAAAAAATAAAAAACTAACAAAAAGCTAATAGTCAAGAAAAGAGAGTACAAAGGAAATCAGAATGTAGAGAGAAATAGCAGATAGAAGTGCAAAAATATATATAGAAATAAACGAAAATACCCCCCAATAGAATGACTTCTGACTTGTTTTACAGCAGATGTAAATAAAATTTGTTCAACTATTGCTCTTCAATTACAATATACCCTCCATTTCTTTATAATCTACAAATATTACTGATTCTCAGATCCATATGTCATAACTTCATTTTTTTCTGTTTTGTACCAAAAATACAAAATGGGCTTCCAGTTGGTATTAAATTTAGCCGATGTCTTTTTTCTAATCAGAGCCATCAGTTTCACCATCCCAGCCAGCTCCATCAGCTTTACCAACCATTCATCCATTGTAGGTATCATCAAATCCATCCAAGGTTGGGCATATGGAAGTCTTGCTGCTGTTGTCATATAGAAGAACCAAATACCATGCGATTTTCCAATTTCTCCATCAGCCCTGCCAAAAATGTCTCTACTCTGACTTATATATTGAACTTCATTTTTTAAATTAATCTATTGCTTGGCTTTTTGACAAGCCCCCCCCCCTCAAAGATGGTAAAATAGTAAGCACCCTTCTTGGTATTTACATTTCCAAAAGTTGTTAGAAGTCCCACTACATATTTTTGACAATCTCTCTGGTGATAAATACCATCTACGCATTGTTATATAAAAAAAAACCAGTTATATTATTTTAAAAATAGAATCATTGCAAATAATTTGTCAAAGCTGGGGAAAGAAAGGGAATGGCATCAGAAAAACAACTTTCAGCCATTCTATTTTAAAAATTATGTCAAAGACATACAATATCAATAAGATGCAGTACTTTGCCTCAAATATAAGGGTAATGTGTGCTTTAGTTATATGAAGAAGTGAAGCAGGGGTCATCTTTGAAGAAACTTTGGAAACGTCAGGAAGTCCTGAGTAGTAGCAAGGATGTTTGCACATGCTGATTCTTGGATTTCATTTCACTTATCCTGTAGCACTTGTACTTATTTGCACATTTTTTAAAGGAAAAATTACCTGAAGGGCTGCTTTCTGCTGTATCAGACATATCCTCAGATCAAATGGAGAGGATTTTTTTCTGAGTTTTACCTATGATGTAGAGCAGTGTTTCTCCACCTTGACAATTTTAAGGCATGTGGACTTCAACTCCCAGAATTCCACAGCCAGCATTGCTGGCTGTGGAATTCTGGGAGTTGAAGTCCACATGCCTTAAAATTGTCAAGGTTGAGAAACTCTGATGTAGACAATGCAATGTAGACTGATAGGAACTTCTCAGGAATTACACCAATACTGAGGGACAGGTTGCCCTGTGACTCCTAGGTTGGGTGCTGATGATGTAATGTTAGGATTTGCTTTCCTTCAGGTAAAAGGTTTACCTGAAAAATGAGTCTCCTTTACAATGTTTGTTTTGGTTTATATCTGATATGTCAGATGAAATGAAATACATGTTTAAATAAATAATTGCACAAAAATAATTTGTTTCTTTCCAAGCACAGCTTTCAAACTCTTAATGTTAGAATAAACTCTTGTTTTATGTTATTTCTTTGTTTTACAGGGCGCAATAGGAAGACCTGGACATCCTGGTTCACCAGGAACAAAAGGCGAGAAGGTCTGTTACTCTTCACACTACATACGTACTCCCTCTAATAGCATTTTTATTGTTTTTAAATAATAATAATAATAATAATAATAATAATAATAATAATAATAATAATAATAATAATAATAATAATCATCATCATCATCATCATCATCATCATCATCATCATCATCATCATCATTATCATCATCATCATCAGTGCTTTTTTTGTAAAAAAAAAAAAAAAAAGGTGCCGGAACTCACACATTATACAACCCGTACCCTACAAGGTTTACCTTTGTAGTTGAAAAAAAAACCCTTCAATTTTTAGTGTATCTAAAAGACTAGGATTTTGTTCAAGGCAACTCTGGAAAATCTGTCGAAAAAAGGTGCCGGAACTCCGTTCCAGTGCATTCTATGACAAAAAAGCAACAACAACAACAATAATAATAATAATAAAGTTAGAAGTTCCTGCACAGGCAGGAAACCCTATACCATTTCAGACAAATGGCTGTGCAGTCTCTTCTGCAAAACTTCCAGTTTTTTTCATTTCTTCTTAGTTAAATAAAGAATTCCAGGTGCACTCTTTAACATTATTGAGACTGAATCTTTCATTTTATGGAAATCCAAAGATGGATTTGTGGTTTATACAGGGCTTTTTTTCAGCCGGAACGCGGCGGAACCGCGTTCCGGCACCTTTTTCCGGGCCGGCCGCACCGGGCACAACATCTGGGGGGGCGCGCTCGCACTCGCAGCTCTCTGCCCCTGCCTGGCTCACAACCGCGGCCATAGGGAGGCTCGGTCGGCGCGCCCCTGGCCCGTTTCCTAGGCGACCCTGCCCGAGCAAGANGGTTTATATAGTTTGCATAGCAATACAAAGAAAGTAATAACTAGATTTGGTAGCGCTCTTTCACATAGAAATATTTTTAAATGCTATCTCTTATCTTAATGGTTCTCTGTACTTGACCCTCAATAAATATGAGCCCAAACACTGATTGCTCCTGAGAGCACAAATTGTAGTTTTTCTGATCTCATCTTTTTGCTGAAAGTTTATGACTCTAAATGTGGTGATTTATCAACATGTAAACCCCCAAATTGACTTCTTAAAGATGTTTAAATAATTTTTTTGAAGTGTACTAAAAGTAGATGAGTTCATAAAAAACTTGGCTTTGAAGTGTTCTGAGAGCTTCAACATTAACGATCTTCTTGCGACTCTTATAAGCCATCTGGGGTTTAATATTTTTCATTTGAGAAAGAGTGCCTTCTGCCACAACAATTTGTTTGATAGTATAGATTAATTACCATCAAATGCCATTTTTTTAAGATAGAGGAAAGCACTTTCTTTTCATTTTTATATTCTGAATGTATCTATGGCAGAGACAATTTGTCGCAAGGTTTTTACATTGTAGAGACAATTTGTCACAGGGAACTGGTGGCAGTTATTTGAAAAAAAAATTATCTTCAAAAAATATTTCCATTTTTCCCAATTTTATTAACTTTAATAATCTATCTGCCAAATTCTGTGTCCCACTGTGAAGTAGTTGCTGATAGTATTTTACAGCACACACATCAAGAATGTTGATTTGGTCTTCTGAATAGATTAAAAAAACTGCAAGTAAAAGAATAGAATTACATTTTTAAATTGCATGGTGATTGTCCCCATGGTTAGATTAGAATATTTCTTAGTCATTAAGGTGAAGTGCAGAGAACTTTGGGAAATTACCACTGAGATAAAGAGGTAGCATTTAAAAACATTTTTGTGGGAAAGAGCTCTAACAATTCTAAGTATTATTTACTTTGTAGTACAGATTTTAAACGCAAGTATTATCTGTATATATTCTGTAAAATCTTACTGTTCTGTGGAACAGTTCTTTTCAGTGTGTTATTCTTTTTTTCTTTTCTTTTTTTTGGTTTAGGGAAGTGAGGGTTCTCCTGGGAAGCCTGGACCACCTGTAAGTAATTCAGATTCTCTTACAAGCGGCTGAAGTTCTAAAATATTTCATAGTATGATTTTGGTGGAATAGATTCCCAAAATTAGGGCAGTATATCAGCAGGAAAGATCTGTATCAGGGAAGAACTGAATCTCATCCAGGGCTAGAATTAGTTTCCTAACAGCTTCAGTTGGTCAAATATTGTCAGTCCCTTTGTTCCTAGAGAAGTGCCTGATCCCTTTCTGTAAGCTGAAACAATATCTTCCTGGAGAAAGATAGTCCATGGAGTCAAAGCAGGGAAGATCTCCCACCTCATTCTTCATGGAGACCGTTTTTCTATGCAGCAACAAATGGAGAAATATTATTCAGTGATAATAGTCCTTGAAAATGTTTGGATTATATTTTCCAATCTGCTACTGCAGAGAAAAAGGGCTTTGGGTGGGGTGGGGGGTGGGGAGATGCTGCAAGACTTTACTTTCTGCATGGTCAAGTGGAAGGTCATCTAAGTGCAAGCCAGAGTCATTCTGCCTCCTATCATAGTTTATCCTAGTGGTGGCGAACCTATGGCACGCGTGCCAGAGGCGGCACTCAGAGCCCTCTCTATGGGCACATGTGCTGTTGCACCAGCCTCGCCTCAGTCCACGACCCCCTCTTCACCAGCAGCCCCCCTGGAGGAGAGTCACCCCCGAGCGTGGCCCACACGGAGCAGCGCAGCCAAGGACATGGCAGCCAAGCAGTGTAGACAAGTCTCTGCCCTCACGCCCCACCCCGTACAGTTGATGCTGTGGGGCGTGGGCAGAGGGCATGGCCTCCATGGCGCTGCTGGGCTGCCTGGGCGATCTGTGGCGGGCCCTGGAGGCGGTGAGTGGCCCTGCAAGCAGACGGGGTGGAGGTGGGGCAGGGGCGGGGCAGGGGGTGGAGTGGAGCACTCGGTCTCTAAAAGGTTCATCATCACTGGTTTATCCTGTCCTGGAGAAAACAGACAATTCAAGGAAGGTGGCCTAGGAACAGGAGGGACCTTACAGGTTGATCCTGTAGATCCAGAATTTCCCCAAGCCTGTTCTTTGGTTTAGGATTATTTCTGTTTTCACATTGTTGCCTCAGGTAAAGGATATGTAGTGCTGATGTCTTAGAAGGCATCAGGAGTTATTCTGAGTTTTAAGGTTTCTCATTACTATATTCTTTTTATTTTTTTTCTTCAGGGTATGTCATATAGTGAAAGTAATGGCATGAGCAGCTTATATAAACTACAGGTATTGCCTAGCATGAAAAATGTGTGGTTTTTTTTTCTTTGTTGAATGTATGCCTTGTTTTTATTGATTTAAAAACGGCAACTTGGGGACACAATCAGTTTTAATAATTTACATTTAAAAAAAAAACTCAGTGCAAATCTTTTAATAACTATCCACATCTTTTACATCAGAAACATATAGTATTCTATAGCATGAAATAGAAGTCTCTTAATCCGCAAAAGATCAATTTTAAAAAGTAAGACCAATGGCACTAAACTAACTATAATTTAAAGGATTTTTTTTCCCTTTGCAGGGAAGTTCTAGTTATGCTGGTCCCCCTGGGCCCCCTGTAAGTATGGTATTATTATAGTTTGATATTTATTATATACGAATATATATCCAATTTTGCATAATATTCTTCAATACATTAAAATCATGAATTACAAAAGTTGAATTGTAGAAGCTTTAAATGAAAGATGCACATGTAAACATGTTTCTATTTTAAAATAACTTTAAAATAATTTATTGAGCACAATAACATATAAAGAATTGTATTTTAAGCTTTCCCTAAAATTATATTTTAAGAATGATTTCTCATATGTAGCTACAATATATAAAATTATACCTGGAGATGGAGCCTATTCATTGCTAAACAGACTCATTAATAGAAGGAGTAATTCATAGGTATCTTTTCTGGCATTTCTTTGAAAATAAGATTCCTGTCAGATTCTTTCCCTGAATTTTAGATCAATGTGCAAAATGATTACAGAGAATTATATCAGAAGATTGAAATCTTGACTCCATTGGAAGAACCCGTTTGTCCAAATTTCTACGGTGGCTGCTAAAAAGAGCAAATATTGGTTCAAAGTGAAATGAGAATTAAGAGTGGTTCTCTCAAAAATAAAAAACAGATTTCAAGACTTATATTAAACCAATTAACCTCATTCTTTCCATTTAAAATGGGTTTTAAATTTGGTTATTGTTTGTTTCCAAAGAAAACATTTTATTTTATAAAGATGCAAGGATCTATTTTGTTTTATATGGTAGTTACATTAAAGTGTTATTGTTAAAAATAATAGATACATGTACAGGATTTCTTGCCCAACCCTAACCCCGGTGGATGCATGGCTTTTATTCATAAAGGGAAGTCAACATGAATTCATTTATTATTTGTGGATAAATGATAAATTATCTTTGAGGGAGATGGGTGATTAAGAAACATGATAAACAAACAAACAATCTGCTGTAATGGTCTATTTCTTGTAAAGCAATTCACTACAAATATTGAGGAATTAAAGCATCACAGTAAATGGAAATTAAAGGCATTTCCCAGATTATTTTTCAAATACCATTTTTTCTTAGACTCAGAACATTTGTGGAATGATGGTTCCTAAGAAAAGCAAATAATCACATTTCACGGGGTACTTCATTCAATAATGGAAGATTCTTGATTCTAATTAAAGGCCATAAAATCATTGGGTCAGTCTCATTGAGTATCAGTCTCATAAATAAATTATGTACTGTATCCTATTTTCTTACAGGGCCCAAAGGGGGAGACTGGAGCAGTGGTATGTAATGGGTAAAATGAGTCCTCATTTATAAAATGTGCCCTGATGTATTTGGTTATCAGTTTCCATTTTCATTTTCCATTTATCGTCTTCCCTCCCTCTGGATAGTTAGTCTCAGCAGGGGAAAGAAAGCAAATGGCCTGGAATGTCAAGATGGATCTACCCAGGGAGAGTTGTGGAAGCCATTTTGTCCAGTTTCAAAATTAGAAGCCAACATTGACCATTTGGGTTACTTGTGAAGCTAAGAGAGGGTCTGGCCTCATAAAAGGAGCCGCTTTATGCATATATAGTTGAACTATGGAATTAAGTCTTATCAGATGTGATAATGGAAACCAATTTAGTGCTAGGCTCTGATCCTTTTAAAAGAAGCTAGAATGGCCATTAGTCCTTATTTGTGCAAGAGAATGTAATCACAAGTGTTATCCCCCTGTGTAATCTAAATACTGTATAGCCAGACCTAACAATCTTGATTCTGAAAACACTTTTTAGTTTCAAGTCATTAAAATGCTCAGCAGGGCAAAAATGGTCATTTCCAAGTAAGCAGTGTATTTAGCAGCTTATGAAATACATCTGGCTTTATTTACTTAGGGTGTTGAAATCAGAAACAATTGTCTTTTTGTTTCTTTTCAAGGGTGAAGCGGGCCCAATGGGACTACCAGGGTTAGAAGGATTACCAGGAGAAAAGGTAGAGTTTGAATAGCAAAATTACATGTGGAAAATTGATTGCATTTACCTATTGACAATAATAATTCTTTTCCAAACCTCCTTTGCATATTTAAATCATATAGCAAATGTTTCCACAATGATGTAGAATCTGCATTTAAAACAAAAAAAATTAAAATTTACAACAGCAAGAAAACTGAGTATTTTAAGCAAATGGATATTGGCTTAGGTTTATGATAGCACCAAGCACACTGGATGTGGCTGTTTGTGCTGGGGCAATTTCACAGAATAGGTGAAGGTAAAAGAAAAAGTTGCAATGCAATAACAAAAATGTTGGCTGCTGATTCTTGGACAATAACTGCTGTTTCCTTTGGGCAACCTGCTTTGCACCAGGCTGTGACCATGGCCTATGAATCCAAATGGAATGTACTATAAATTCAGATAGAATTTAGAGTGGGGGAAGAAAAGATTATACTTGATTTTACACATAGCATTAAGTCATGGTTTAGTAAACCATGTTTTATTAAAAACATTAACTGGATTTATAAAGCACCAGCCATAAACCTTGCTTTATACACCACCATAGCTAAGGTCATACAGTATAACAGACTAAGACAAAGCATAGGATTGTTTATCCATCTGTTACAGGATGCAGGTTCAACCTGCATAAACCTTGTTTTCCTAATCTTTCCCAATCATCTTTCCACACTGCTATTGAACAACTTGTTAGATTGTTTTCTACTGGCTATTACAGGGGTCCTCAAACTTGGCCACTTTAAGACTTGTGGACTTCAACTCCCAGAATTCCCCAGCCAGCATGACTGGCTAGGGAATTCTGGGAGTTGAAGTCCACAAGTCTTAAAGAGGCCAAGTTTGAGGACCCCTGGGCTATTAAATAGCTTTGATTTAGAATGGCTATATAGGGAATATACATAGGGATATTTGTGCTTCCAGAGCATCCTTTTCAGAAACCAGTATATCAGATTAGGAAAAGCTGATAAGTGCTATAAAGGACATCCCTGTTCACAAAAGTTGTCTTTTTGCCTGCAGCTACAAACCTACAACTATATGAGATGAATGTGAGAAACAAATCAGATAATTGATTTATTAGAGTATTTTATACTCTACACTATATACTTTTTATAGTGCATTTGGCAGAAGTGGCCAGGACAGTAGACATTCTATTACTACTGTAGTGGACTCTTAATAGATATATTCCAGGAATTTGCATTCAACTAACTTCATTTCAGGAGGCTCTTCTATTATGTTCTCTAAACACCAACTTGACAGGAAATTGAGATTGCCTTAATTGTAATAGAAATAAGAAATATAGGAAAAGAGAATGTGCTATCCATGCAGTGAGATTAACAAATGCCAAAAAGGAGATTAGAATTAACTGTATGATAAAACATTTTAACTATTCTCATGTTGTTATTGTTATCACAATCACAGTCATTATCGCTGGCTATAAGCTACCATGTTTTTCCAGTCCCCCAGTGCTGATAGTCCACCACTCAGAAAACTTCATTTCTTTGTTTTCCTGTTGAACATAGCAAAATAATTGTGACATACTGTCGCATGTAAAAAGTTCATTGTCTTGAAGATCTTTTGGATAAATTAAACTGTCATGTCCTGAGTAATGTATTGAATTTGCCTTCTTCTCTAAGCTGTTCTCTAGAATTTGTGCCAGAAACAAGAATTGAGATAAGAATCAATCATACTCAACAGAAGTAACTGGATGTTATGATTGCTTATGATTGTTTCAGGAGACAGAAGCAAAGGAAAAATCCAAGTAGTTGTTGTTCCTTTTGATTTTAATAGGATGAAGGCTGTTTCAAATAGTGCTTCCCAGGTGTAAAAGGTCATACAGTGTGTGAAAAGGATTGTTTCCTCAAATGCTGAGTGAATTCATCAAGCCTTCTTAATAAGCATTGGATTTTCTCAAGAGATATACTTTGGAAATACTGCAATGTAGTATGTCTTTTTTAGGGTGACCAGGGATCTTTGGGTTCTCCAGGAGTTCCAGGAATACCTGTAAGTATGGTCTTAGAAATGATGTTTCCATTTTGTGGAAGTGAATAGTAAGCACAATAGCTGGGATAAGGCTACAGACTGCTAGACACATAATAATGTATACAAACTGTGGGAAATAGTAGCCAAATACTCTGCTGAATATTCAGATTCAAAATTGCCATACTAATCACCAATCTTTTCTTTAAGCTCATTTTTTACTATAAAATACATCCTATGTTACTTGTTTTCTCACTATGAAGCTTCAAAAGAATCTGGAAGTAGGCTATACTCACTATTTGCACTGTTGATAACTAAGCTTAACTTTTTCTTCTTACAAATTATCTCCATTCATATTTAGAAAGTGTTGAGCATTCTTTGGAGGGAATTTTCTGTGATTAGCAAATCAGTATTTTAAAGAGAATTGTTCCTTATTTGTTTTATGCTAAAAATTAAAACAAATAGACAGTGAAAAAACAAGTCTACACCTATATTTAGAATTAACAAATTTGTCCTGGAAGAATTGCATAAATGAACGAACGAACAAACAAACAAATGAATGAATACCTGATCTTCTCTCTTTTTCCTTGTTCTATCTGTAATCCATTTCATAGCACCTTGTCGCCCCCAAAGTAAGGCCTACCCTGAAAATAAGCCCTAGCTTGATTTTGGGGGGTAGGCCTAATGAGCCCTACCCCAAAAATAAGCCCTACTTTTGGGGCAAGGCACAAACCTAAAATCAAGGTAGGGCAGGAGTGGGGGTGTGGAGCTGCCCTACGTGCCCTGCACCCACTTACCTTGCAGCCAGGTCTCTCCTCATTGGCCCACTTCTACTGTGGGCTCTTCTGCAGCCAGGCTTGCATTTTGCAGTCACAGGCCTTTCTGGAAGGCCTCTGTAGCCAAGAACTGAGCTATGGATTGAATCCATAGCTTGGTTCTCGGCTCCAGAGGCCTTCCAGAAAAGCCTGACTGCAAAATTCAGACCAGAATGTAGTTGCAGAATGAAGCTGCTCTTTCGTGCAGAAGAAGTGGATCAGCTCGGCAGTGCTGGAGGTGGGTATAAAAGACATCCCCCGAAAATAAGAGCTGGTGTCTCTTTTGGAGGCAAAAATAATAATAAAATAAACTAAGATCCTGTCTTATTTTCAGGGAAACACGGTATTACTGCAATAGGAACTTTCAGATGGGCTGGACTACAAATCAGCCTCCTGGTTTGTTGAGAGACTGAGTTGATGAGATGTTATCATTGGAAAGAATGATACAAAAGTCTTTACACATTTTCACCCAGCTTGTACACATGTACACCTTCTAGGGACTTGCTGCTACCATTCTCACTTTGATTTAAAGTGGGGGAATAGAAAATAGAAATGTGGAAATTTTGCTGCCAGATTTGTTTTTTTTCTTGGGATATTGGAGTTGAAGGACTAACACAAGCAGCCCCTAAGCCAAGACTCTTCTTTTTATGATATATTTTTATAATTAAAGCTTCACTTAATTTATGCCATCTGAAAAGCTGTTTGTATCCTAAGAGGATTTAACAATCTCAAGATATTTCTAATAATTTTTTTAGAAAAAGATGATTTTCTGTTCAAAAGTAAGTGTCACTGAATTTAGGGTGAATAGCCTAAATTAGTATAGTTAGTATATGTAAGAATGGAACCAAAAGCTTTTATAATTAAGGAAGAATTCATTGCTAAGACAATATAAATGTAATATAGTGTCATCTAATGCACATTAAAACAGCTGTAATTTTAGAGCAGACTAAATAATTTAAAATGTTGTTTTCTATGTCTCATTTTCACAGGGAAAACATGGCGCTCCGGGGCCATCAGGAATCCCTGGAGAACCTGTAAGAGCACTTAGGTTTCAGCACTCCCATAATAGTATTAGTATTCTGATTGCTTTCAATTAATATAAAAGACTCTTTATTTTTCCTTTAGGGTGAAAGAGGCCCTGTTGGAGAGGTTGGCTTTCCAGGGCCAGAAGGGCCACCAGGAATACCAGTGAGTAATTCAAAAGGGATTCTGATATGGCCCAAGAGAGGGATTCGTCTAATGTTTTTTCTTCATCCAACCAATTAAGTAATGGCCAATTATTGGATGGGTATTATTATTATCTGGTCACAACAATGTGAAGTCACAGTTGCCAGCTCTTTAGCTGGTGCTGGCCTTCATACACATCAAGTTCTTCCCAAGAACCTAGGATGTCGTAATGTATCAGCATAATATAGGTGCGGATCCAAACAAGATGGCCTTTTGCAATTGACTGATGGGGATTTTGTTAATGCCCCTTTAGTGCCATCCAAGATTTGTTGGTATGGCATCCAGTGTGCCGATAACCACTGGGACTACTATAGCCAGTTTATACCATAATTTGATTAATTAATTATAATTATTAGGTCCCTGCAAAACTACTCAATTAAAATTATTGTTTCCCCCTCCTTTGCAGGGCCCCAAAATGAAACAGCTAAAATCTGGTGGCAAAGCAGTAGATAAGAATGCTGTGTTTTTCCATTGAGTTTTTCCATTGAGTTTCCATACAATTAGCGAAAAGCAATAAAACTATCTTTACCCTCCCCCTTAGCAATTAAATGTATCTATAAAGGAAACTGACCTTCCAATAATAAAAGTGCATACTCTACCTAGCTATAGAGCAGTGGTGGCGAACCTATGGCATGGGAGCCAGAGGTGGCACTCGGAGCCCTCTCTGTGGGCACTCGGAGCCCTCTCTGTGCCCCAGCCTCGCCTCCCCCATGACCCCCTCCTCTCCAGCAGCCCCCCTGAAGGAGAGTCGCCCCTGAGCGTGGCCCACACGGAGCAGCGCAGCCAAGGACATGGCAGCCAGGCAGCATAGACAAGACTCTGCCCTCACACCCAATCGTGCACAGTTGATGCTGCAGGGCGTGGGCAGAGGGCGTGACCGCCATAGCACTGCTGGGCTGCCTGGGCGATCTGCGGCGGGCCCTGGAGGCGGTGAGTGGCCCTGCAGGCAGGCGGGGCAGGGCAGGGGGGACGGGGCAGGGCAGGGGGTGGAGCAGGGGTGGGGCCAGTTTTTGGGCACTCGGTCTCTAAAAGGTTCTCCATCACTGCTACAGAGTAATGAGTAATTTTATTATATTATTTTAGAAGTTGGGTTTACTGATAATTTGCACACATTAAATGCTACAGCCAGCTAGAACCACTTTGTGGTTATGTAGTTGAAGAATGCCTTGAGTCCTTTGGAACCTGAATGAGTAAGACTTGGGGCAACTGCCAAAAGTCTCTAATCACCTTGTCAGTTGAGATTTTGCATTTATTTTCCTGAGAGCTTTATGCTTGTGTTCTGTTCTGTCATAAGATACAGATAGCAGATAGCAAAAGTCAAACATTTGGTAATATGAAGATCATTATTTTTTTTCCTTAGGGCTTAAGTGGGAAAGATGGATTGCCTGGTCCTCAGGTAAGAAAACTATTTATGTATGCATACTATAATTGCGCTTTTGTCAGCAATAATATATATTTTAGCAATACTTTTACTTTTTTTGTAGGGTTTAATGGGTAAACCTGGTGATAGAGGCCCCAAAGGAGAACGTGTAAGTTACTTTGCCAATCGTCATATTTATCCAGCTTATTATTTGTCATTTACATGCACACTGGTAAGGTACAAATGCATATAAACTGAAGCATTATAACTTGTGATAAATATTAATACAGTGGAAATCAAACAGATTAAAACGGCAGGTTATTTAGAAGTCTTAATGCAGTGGTTCTCAACCTGTGGGTCGGGACCCCATTTGGGGTCGATCGACCATTTCATGGGGGTCGCCAAGCAAGGCTGTCCGCCATTTTTTTTGTCCATTTTTTTTGTACGACATTTTTTCCCCTTTTCCGGCGGGTGCCTTACCTCCCTTGGGCTGGGCCAGCTGGTGGTCGGCCTGCTCTGCCTCTGCCACTTGCCAGCTACGCCTCGGCCGGCGCAGGGGGCGGAACCACGCATGCGCGGCGCTCCCGGGCAGGGAAAGTCCTCGACTTACGACCGGTCGGGTAGTCCTCAACTTACGACCGGCTTAGTCCTTGACTTACGACCGATTTAGTCCTTGACTTACGACCAGTTTAGTCCTCGACTTACAACCGGTTGGGGGTCACGGCATTAAAAAGGTTGAGAACCACTGTCTTAATGAATTTACTCCAAGTTTGTGATCAAAGTGACCTGAACTGGACGCTGTATTCTAAGTGGGGTCTGACTTAGAGTGGGACAATTACTTCCCATGCTTTGAACCATAAACTCCTATTAATGCATCCCCAAATAATATTAGATTTTTAGAAGTTGCAATACAACTGGTGATCTATCCTTTTCACATTACTGTCAAGCCAGATCTTTCCCATCGTATATTTGCTCCCACATTTGTTCCTATTAAGTCTCATCCTGTTCATTTCTGCTTACTGTTTACACACCATTCAAAAGAGGCAATTAAAAAAGCTAGGAAGGAAACAAAAAGACTAGACTGCATTCTCCCCAACAGCCGACACTCAGATAAGGAGGCAGTAATACCAGATGGATTGGGGATTCAGCTCTCAAAATTTGCAGCAAGAATATCCTGGTTTACAGGATATTTTTGAGATTTGTAATTCTAGTATATTTGGAGGACATGAGCTTGGAGAAAGCTGATTTATATAGTTATCCATTGTTTACCAGTTGAAGAAGTGAAGCAAAGAGTAGATTCATATATATATGTCAAATCTAAGTTGTATATGTCACCTTCATAATTAAAGTTTCAGTAATGGATCACTTTATATAATTAATATTATACCGAGGACTTATTTTATTCTGGGTTGTAGACAACACTTTCTTTACAGTCCTTATGATAAAGACATTAGGTGCATTGTTAAGATAAACTTCTTTGAGTAAAAGAGGAAAGCAGGGTTGTTGTTTTTTTGCTGTATCCCCCATCCTATTTTATCCAAAATTCAGAAGATAACTAAGTAAGAAGGATCTGTTTTAAGTATTGCTGTATTAAAAAAAAATCTGTAATTAGAAGAATAGGAATACCTATGGATCTTCCTTTCTTTGCATCATGTACTTCAGCCCTTTACGTTCTTATATTTTCTTTCTTTTGCAGTGCTAAAACCTTACAGCTGATAAGAAAGTAGAACTTTATGGGATTTTCTGATTGTTTTGCTAATGGATTCCAGTTTTCTTAATCTTCCCTGTGTGGTTCTTTCACATGTTATTCTGTAGTGTAAAGAACTATTATTCAGTAGGATTGTAAATTGCTTTGAACTTTAAGGCAAAAAATATGCTTTAAAATATGCAGGGATGCCCACATAGCACCCACTGGTTACTCCAAAAGCAGCTACTTCTTTTCCCCAAAATAGTGTGGCTGACCACTGCAGGTGCTGTGCAATCCTAAGCAAAACAATGTGTTTAAAAACAGGCAGGAAGGTGTGAGCTCTAAGGCATGTTTTTGGCTGGAAATACAAAGGATTGTGCCACTCTGATTGTCTTTAATGTTTTCATTTTCAAGAGATTTAAGATAATGAAAGCTCAAGCAAAGCATTTGATACAGCATTCTTTTGTTTGTTTGTTTGTTTGTTTGTTTGTTTCAATAGGGTGATCAAGGTATACCTGGAGACAGGGGCCCACAAGGTGAAAGAGGAAAGCCAGGCTTACCAGGAGACCAAGGGCCCCTAGGACCTACTGGATCTGCAGGGCAAAAAGGCAATCTAGGACCTCCAGGAGCAAAGGGCTCTCCAGGTGTCCCAGGAACTCCAGGAATACCAGTAGGTTGAAGGGCAGAAAGCAGACAACTTCCATGGGCTACGTCAGTGATGGCGAACCTTTTAGAGACCGAGTGCCCCAAAACTGGCCCTGCCCCCACTCCACCCCCTGCCCTGCCCCTGCCTGCAGGGCCACTCACCGTCTCCAGGGCCCGCCGCAGATCACCCAGGCAGCCCAGCAGCGCTATGGCAGCCACGCCCTCTGCATCAACTGCATAATGGGGTGTGAGGGCAGAGCCTTGTCTATGCTGCCTGGCTGCCATGTCCTTGGCTGCGCTGCTCTGGGTGGGCCACGCTCAGGGGTGACTTTCCTTCAGGGGGGCTGCTGGAGAGGAGGGGGTCACGGGGGGAGGCAAGGCTGGGGCAACGGCACATGTGCCCACAGAGAGGGCTCCGAGTGCCACCTCTGGCACCCGTGCCATAGGTTCGCCACCATTGGACTATGTGCTGCACCTAACATTTTTGGAGAGGGTAAAGCTGTAGTGGGCAAAATGGCATTATTTAATGGGAAAGACATGTCATGAGCAAAGATAATGAAATGAGTTTCTATTCTAAGCCTATTTTAAAGATTAAACAACAGCTTTTATGTGTTTTCTACATCAGAAGGGTAGTAAATCCAATTTTTATATTCGGAAATTGCAGTTGGAAGGACTTCTGGGCCTTCGGGTCTGCATGCATGCTATTGATTGGAGTTGGCCATCTTTTTTCTTGAAAATTCAAAATAAAACTCCGTAAGAATAATTGAGAAACAAGTCTTTCTAAGCATTAGTATTGCTTCTATGGTGGCAGTGGTAGTTATGGTTATGGTGATGGTGATACTAGCAGATTTTCATTACATGAATCCTATTTATAACTTTTATTGTTGTGGAGCTCTTAATAGAAACATGAAGACAAGTTTATTTGTTTTGATGATTTTTGTGGCCCAAGACATCTATGCTTAATCTCTTTTATTTTTTTATTTCTTCAGGCTGATTCAATTTCATTTGAGGAAATGAAAAAATATGTCAGACAGGAGGTTCTTAGAGTTTTTGAAGGTAAGGAAATAGCGCATGAGAAAATATAATACATATTTCACATCTCTGTTTTAAATACTCGCTTCCAATTGTGAATTATAGATCTATTGGATATGTAACATTTGGAACAGTTTCACTGAGCTTCAGTTATTTATACAAATACATTTAAAATGCTTAAGGCAGGCAGGTTCCTTCCAAGTCACATATTGCAATCACAAATAATGGTTTGACATTCAAAATACCTTTAACTAACAATCTGCTTGTTGAATGTGTACTGAAATCACAAAGGATACTAACTTGTTAGAGAGAAGACCTGTTAGAGGGCAGATAGCAATGAAACCTACAGCACCTTTATATATCCATCCTACATCCTCCAAAATATGATGAATTGTATCTAGGGAGATGAAACTCAAATACTTTGGCCACCTAATGAGAAGGAAGGACTCACTGGAGAAAGATTGAGGGCAATAGAAGAAGGGGGCGACAGAGAATGAGGTGGCTGGATGGAGTCACTGAAGCAGTAGGTGTGAACTTAAATGGAGAAGTTAATTGAACTTTTTTTTTCTTGCAGTGCTGGACAAACAGTAAAAAAGGAGATCTTTAAATTCTTGGGGGTCTGTTTTAATCTTGGTTTGCGAAATATTGTGCAACTCTGATCAGTTAGTATATTCTTGATATGCAAAACTCTAAAGGTCAAATGAAGCAGTAAAATCAAATAAAAGAAGATCCACATGACTTTCCTCTCTTTCCTCTTCCAAAGTGAAATTATGCAAACCAGAGGCAGTTTGAACTGCATAGAGATAGAGGTGATATTCAGTGTCAGTTTCTGAGCTACACAAACACTGTAATAAGATGGAGGGAAAATAGCATATATTGTCAGCTTCCTCATCAAGTCTTTGATACTGGTCTGCTCTTCAGTCAATATCAATAGCTAGGGACTAACTAACTTGTGCGACCGGTAACTTTTCTCAGAATGAAAAAAATGAAACAAAAAAAAAATCCTACTCTTAGGCACTCACACTCACTAAATAATTCTTTGAATTAAATAATATCCAAAGAGATGTGACAGTTTTCTAAAAAGAGTTCATGCTATTTAACAGACATATCTTCCATGGAACATTTTGTATCAAATGTTATGATTACTATGGTGTCATAAAAATGGAATCATGTCTATTGAACATACGATTCTGACATACCAAAGATCTCCAAAGGTAACAGAGCCCAGTTTTTTCCATCTATACCTGACACAAGAATAGGTTTCAGTTTAGGATAGGCCAGGGGTAGGCAACCTTGGCTCTTTTATGACTCGTGAACTTCAACTCCCAGAATTCCTGAGCCAGGAATTCTGGGAGTTGAAGTCCACGAGTCATAAAAGAGCCAAGGTTGCCTACCCCTGCTAATTGCAGAGAGAGAGAGAGAGAGAGAGAGACCGTGTGCACCTCTCATATCACAGCCAAGTTCTCCCATTATTTTGTTAAAGCACAAAAGCTTGGAGATCAAATGAGTGATGAGGCAGAAAGGGAAAGCTGAATGGGGATATGGGAGAAGTGCACAAGACTCCCTTGGAATTACATAGTTTTATCTATTTCCTTTAATGCTTCTAGAATGTAGTTTCAGACCAAGGACCCTCCCTCATTACCCAGCAACAGCCCACTTAAAAGGCTAAAAATTATCAATAACAAAGCTTCTCTCCTTGGCCCTTTACCCATGACAATTAAACACATTAAAAAGGTAACATATTGCCAAGCTCAAATGTACAGCTTGGGAAAAATCAGAAAACAGGTCAGGAAGAAAGGGTTAAGTGAAAAGAAGAGAAATGATCAAGTTAGATGACCACTCACTGTATAATTTGAAAAAAATATAAACCGTAATACTGCAGTTATAACATATAGTACAGTAGATATATTTTTCCAAGTGTTGAAAAGACATTTAATGCTATTTTATTATTCTTGTTGCTTTTTTAATAAATGAAGAGAGGATGACTCAGTTTGTGTCTCAGCTGAAGTTGCCCGCTGCTATGCTAGCTTCCCAAACTCATGGGAAGCCAGGTCTTCCAGGAAAAGATGGATTACCTGGGCCACCTGGGGAACCTGGACCACCAGGTAGGGCTTCCAAACGCATTCCTATATGCATATTTTATTTTTAAAGCGTTCAAACATCTTCAGAGTTGGGTAAAACTATACAGGTACTAGCTTTCTAACGATTAACTTTTAAATCGATACTAGCATTTTCTAGACTAGACCAATCTATTAACATTTGTTTAGGAGTCTGCTTTGTTGTACATTAAAAACTTCTAATTAGTGCATAATCTTAATAACTGATCACATCAGGATACTGATATACTCTTTTTATTAATCTACAATTATTTTAACTGAAAAATTAGTACCAGAAGGTAGGAGAGTTCTAACAACGAGAGGATTATCCCATAATCAGCTATTTGAGTTTCTGATCTTAGGGATCCAGTGTGTTATAAAATATATACAAATTAAAGTGTAGTGAAAATGATGAACTGTAAACGTTACAGTTTATTACTTTTCCAGTAAATTTAACTACGTACATATATTCTTGTAATTAGGTTTGTGCAATATCTAAAGAAAACTTAGCCAGAAATTCTGTAAAGTGGCATATTGATTAACTGGGGGGAAAGGAATGTTTATAGTTATTCAGTATTATGTTTCATTATTCTCAGTGAATCAGTGAAAACAGACTATGCTGCCATTTTAGATGCACAAACAAAATATTTAAAGCTCACACTGTAAAAATACGATTGGGGTAGTAGATATAAAGCCTATGAATATAGGTAGTTTTTCATTATTATTTTTTGTTAGTTTGGTCTGCTCTGGAGTCAGAGCAAGTCAGACTGGAATGAAGAACATGAAAGCAGAGCCGAAGAAGGGCGGAACACAAAGCTGTAAGGAGAAGAATAATGGCTTAGAGACTGAGAAAGAGCTCAGAATGAGAAGAACCAGAATGAAAAGATCAAGGATTGTTACAGGAGGACTAGAGGTTTTTCAGAATATGGCTTGCTCCTCAATGAAATATGCAAATTCTTGTAAATAATCGACTCAACTATCTCTGCTCCTAGATTGTTTAACCAGGATGCACAGAGTGAATAGCTAAAGATATTTGTAAAAAACCAAAAACAAGCAAGCCAAGATATAATGTGAATGATTTCCCGCTGGCATGTGAAGGACTAGAAACAATGCTTCTAGTGACAGAAATAATAAAAGCTGCTTTTAGTGTTACAGTTGTAAAGAGATTATTGCAGAATGTCGCTGAGTGTAGCATATTATCCCATGTACCAACTCTAAATCAGCTTTAAAACGTGGAACAAAATGTGTGCTTTGAATTATATCCGGGTGCCCCCACACAGTAAACATTTCAGTAATTCAGAGCTAATGCTGCAGTTGAAAATTCAATCAAGTCAGGTTCATTAACTTCCAGAAAGATCTGGCTTGTAAGATCTGCATCTACCATCAGTGTTCCTTTCTTTAAATGCACAATACTGCATTCACTCTTCTACAAGGGCTAAATGGCATATTGAGAATGTTGTGCATTTCTTATGGGCACTATTCCAAAATGGCTGCTGAGGGACGTTCCCATTCTCCAAATGGTAGTCGCAGGGCACACAACCTCTTTCAAAGCACCAATTTACCAGACTATTACTCGCCAACCCCTCTATCCAGTGGTGGGATTCATATATGTGAACAATTGGTTCTCTGTGTGGATGCCGCTTCTGGCAGTCTGTTCTGGGCCTGGGCAACAAAAAATTAGCTCCCGGTTCTGCCGAACTGGTACGAACTGGCTGAATCCCACCACTGCCTCTATCCCTCCTCCACTACCTCAGGAGATGTTCTGTAGCTTCCAATTAATTTTTCTCCACTCACCTCTCCCATTTTGGGTACTCAAGGTTACAATTGTAGGACTGTCCAATCTGAGCTGCCAAATTCCAGATGGCTACAAAGAGTTTGATACATCCGCCCGTAGCTCACAACACGGGAAATGAGGTTGTCATTATTTTACATTCTCCACAGAATATTGGAAGTGACCGGAAGCCAGTAAATTAAAATTCTGGCCAATCAGAAGTTTGCAATAGCACTAGGCTGCTTGACTGGCAATATTGAATTTGCTTCAACTCTTTTCACAAGACTGAATGAGTGAAATAGTATTTTCCAATTGCTTCTCAACAGAATATGGAAGATCCTTTGCACATTTATTGCCTATACAGGTAGTCTGCAACTTTATAACCACGACTGAGACCCGAATTTCCATTGATAAGCAAGGTGGCTATTAAGGGAATAGATTTTATGACCTTTTTTTCATGGTTGTTAAGCGAGTCACTGAAGTTGGTTAAGTGGATCATTGTTGTTATAAGAATCCAGCTTCTCCCATTGACTTTGCTTGTCAGAAGCTGGCTGGGAAGCTGGCAAATGGTGATCACATGACCCAGGACACTGCAATCTTTGTAAATACATGCTGGTTGCCAAGCATCCAAATTCTGATCACGTGACCATGAGAATCCTGTATGAGAATCAGTCATAACTCACTTTTTTCAATGCCGCTGTAACTTTGAACACTCCCTAACCGAATAGTTAAATGTCTATGGAGATTCTCGGTCATTCAGATCATGGTTGTCCCAAAGGTGCTTTTTTTCAAAAGGCAACTGGACTTTGTTTTTCCTTGAAGACGTTTCTCTTCTAACTGAATTGAAGTTAGAACTGAAGAAGCTTCCTGGATGAGAAGCGAAACATCTTCAAGGAAAAACAGAGTCCAGTTGCCTTTTGAAAAAAGCAGCTTTGGGATAAACAAATGGTTGTACGTCGAGGATTATCTGTACAGTAATGGCCAAAATGGTGGAAACCTTTTGGGAAAAGTGTATTATTGAAATTTGATGGCTAATAACACCACTTTGTTTGGAGTAATATCATAAAATTATATATCAATGGAAAGATAATTTAATCAAAAATGTAATGCAACATAGTTTGTTCAATTATTTATACTGTATTCTACGAAAATGTATAGCCAAATAACCAGAAAAAGGAAGCACAACTTGCTTAGGTTGATATCAGGTAGCTTGCCTTCCTCTGATTGTAGCCAATGAGCATGAGTGTTTAGAGAGCCAATCAGGTGTCATCTTGTTTTGGCAATGAGCCAGTCAGATGATAGTAGGATTCAGTTATTGATGTCATGTATTGAAGCTGTCAGTGTGTTATGTGATCACTATCAAGTTGGTTGGGGGTTTTTTGTGTTCTTTCATGTAGTGAGCTTGTAAAACATAATAAAATTAAAGTATTAAAATTAATTATTTTTTATTATTAATTTTTAATTAATAATTAAATTAAAGTGCAAAGAGTTGACTGATTGCCCAGAAAGTGATGTAAAATAGTATTATTAAGTGAACAAGGCTACAGTTATAAAGAAATTAGAAGAAAAACTGGTGGAAACTTAACCAAAGGTGGCATTTCTACTGTACACTTTTCCCAAAAGGTTTCCACAATTTTGGCCACTACTGTATAAGGAAAAGAAGGGGAGAGAAATCCTTAGTCTACTAAGTACTGCTTGCAGCTCAGCTCCCTACATGACTTTTTGGTTTGTTACTTTATTCAGCTTCAGCTAGAGTACAATGGAGAGTTGGAGGAAAATCCCAGGAAGAAGCTAGAGAAGATAGAAAGAATCCTGCAGTCATCCTTCCTGTTCCTGAAACAGGGCCATGATCAATGGATGCTTTTCCCACCAGTTAGTGATGTGTTTAAGATGGAGGGCAGGAAAGCCAAGGAAGGGACCAGCTGGTTACCTCACACAACCAAAACAGCACCATTTGGTGGTGACTCAGAATATGCAAAATAGAGGCAGGGAATGGATCTGCAGATGGGGCAAATTGCGCATTAAAATGATTTTGCTTCTGTCTGAGGGATGGGAGATGAGCAGTATCGCTCAATTGTACAAGAAGGCCTTAAGCCTCATTTGGTTTTAAGGTTAAAATTAGGTAATAAAACAGTTTTGGTCACTAATTTGCTGATCAGTAGGATGTTTCAGGGCATCTCTTAATAAGAGTCTTTTAGGTACGACAAGAGCTATAGAAATGTGATGAATGAACGAATGAACGAACGAACGAACGAACGAACTAATTAATTAATTAATTAATTAATTAATTAATTAATTCCCTCATGTAATGAGAATAATAGAGATTAAATCACTTGGGATTATAGTTGTATTGCTTATTTTCAGTTATACCATTTGAGCAATGGAGTCGGTATGGAAGGTGAGGCTAGAAAGAATTGGGAAATGTTAATTTCCCAATTGTAGTATGCCCAAAGTCTCCTTGCTTACTAGCTTCAGTATTCAAGCAGGATATCCCCACCCCACAACACACAGAGACAAGAAAATAGTAGCCACCAATCACTAACATGCATTAAATGAAGAACTTCAGTTATTAAGTGAGACATTGAATTAAAAAACGTTTTGCAAAGCTAAATAATAGTCTAGTTATTATGAGTACATCTTAAAGCTGAAATTCCTATATGGTTTGGAAAAAGAAATGAGAACCATGTGGCAGTCTGTAATTGCATTGACTCTGTTTTTTATATAAATCTGAGGAAGTAGAGAAAATATAGAGAATTTTCCTCACAACTAAAAGTGGTCTTTGCTTAACAATCACTCATTCAGTGACCATTCAAACTTGCAACGGCGCTGAGCGAGTGGTACTTACACTCTATCCATCAAAGCATCCCGCAGCCAGCCATTTGCAGGCTTCTTTGCTGGCTTCTGACAAGCAAAGTCAACGGAGAAGCGACAGGAGGTCACAAATGGTGATCAGATCCTCACTTAACAACTCACGGTAATTTGCTGAACGATGTCAACCAAGAATACCAGAATTGCCCATTGCTAAGCAGCAGCATCATATATGACATTACATTTTACTGCTGTATATATCATTTAGCGATGGAAATTCCACCACCAATTGCATTTGTTCACAGAGGACCCCCCATAGACACTTTGTCTATGCTTTTGTTGAAATGAATATAATGTGTAAAATTACTGCAAAGGTTTTTTTTTCAACGCAGCTGATAACTGAATGGATTTCTAAAAAAATGGGTCACAG